TGCAACAACGTGCTCTTTCTGCTTACACAAGCAGAAAGAGAAAGAGCACGTTGTTGCACTGAGGTTGTATTCGTAGGTTGACACTTCGTTCAGTGCCTTCTCCCCTTTTATTTACTGGGCATTTGTAGCCTAAAATTCGTTTTGCAAGGTTCAATGTGACAGTGCATACAGGCATCAGCAGTACAGGCTGAAATTTCAATGTGGCCGAGATGTGTTTTTGCCCTGGGGAGTCTGCAATTTAAAAGCGTTGGAAACATGCATACTTTACAACACAGTACTGAGCATGCGGTGAGCTGATGACGAAATGAATTGGAGGTACTAATAATGCTAAGGGATTCGGGGGCGCATCAAAGGGGTCAGCACCAAGGAATGGGATAGATTTGTGCCCAGTTCGGGTATGTATATTGGGTATAGAACGGAAAATATTGGCTAAGCCTCGGGCAACTCCTACCAGTATTGCCACCAATGGCCCATGGCTGCTGATCTCTGTGATAGAAATGAGATGTGTACGTGAAACCAAAATACGGCATTTCAAGATGTACTGTAAGACATGTTATTATAACGAGTCGCAAATTTAACAATTGTCCAAAATTCATAGGTTAACGAGAAGATATGTTAACAATCTTGCAGTATTCTGCCATATACACACACAGCATATATGAAGCAGTACGACCTCAATGGATCTATTATAACGAAGAAATGTGATCCGTTAAAACGTTAGATTTGCTTCCTCGTTATAATACATATCTTACAGTATGTGCATTTTGTGAAGATCTGATGTAAGTCATTAGGGACACCTTGTTGGGTCTTGCCAACATTCAATTATTATGATGTTCATATCTATGCATGAATTATCAGCAAGAATCAATAACCCCAAGAGTATGCAGCTTTGCACATGGAGTCTGCCACAACACGTTGACCAAAGTACATGAACCTAGACACGAGCTAGGGAATCAGCTGAGCTGCTGCGTCATTTATGATCTGCTTTAGTTTTCAGTCTCCATGGAGATTTTTCTTGGAGACGTCGAATCTACAGTACTAGGTGTGAAACTATTGTACTAAACCGCAGGAGATAGAATCTATTCAGCTCGGACAATATTTCACTACGTACGGAAGGAAGTACGCCGATCAAAGCTTGCTACACTCCCGTTTAGTCAATTTAACGGCCCAAATAATGCTTGGGTCATGAACTCATCGCTGTTGGTCTTTCGAGGGTGCCTGACAATGGTTGTTAATGCACAGTACCAGCCGGGCCAAATGACAAGATCAGAGACATAGATCTTCCTAGTTCAATTGCTGAAACGTGACTTGTGCAAACATTACGTAGCAAAAGGAACTGTACTATGGCACTACACGCCATTCACAATAATCAAAAATGCCCACTTGACAAAACAGAATTTCATCAACGGAGCCCCGGGATTTTTTCTTCTGTACATATGCATTATGGAGTCCTAGCATAAGGGAGACGGCACGGTAGACTTTCAGCCTAAATCATAACGAGGGCCAGCTGGGCAGCTCAAAAGAGAGCTCTATGCACTATTGGCAGAGTGGTATACATGAATAGAGAGTGACCACCCAGTGCGTGAAGCTTTTCGTGTCACCCTAGAAAATTTCAAAAATTAATAATGTGGGTTCAACCCCGGGCTGCCAGTGACAGTTGCCCTTACTGCCTTAGGGGCAAGTGCGATACATACATGCTCGCATATAGCATCGCTTGACTGACCCATGCTTGGGTCCAGTGGGTCAAGTCCGCGATCACGAGTTGCATAAACCACGGATCATGTAGAATCTCCATGGATCCAATCTGTGTACTGTAAAAGCAGACATTTTTGGTGGTGTAATATTTTCGGAATTTTCCAAAATCGGCGGTTCGGTGGAGGGAATTTTTCGGTATTACCCGCTTTCCAGGTAAGGGTGCTAGTACTACTAAGTAGAACCGAAAAATTTCGGTGCATTTTTTCGGTAAAAATTGTCGGCACCGAAGTTACTGAAAATAGAACACCATTGAAAATTTCCGCTTTTACAGTACATCATTTTGGGTATCATGATCTCGTGTTGTTTCCATGGGTGCTACGACTCCCTGACATGCATTGATCCATGGTACGGTATGATTTGGGCGATTTCAGCCAATCAGTAGACGTTCTGAGAGGGGTATATTCAACGATACACCCCGCTCAGTTCACATGGGTCGCGCCAAGAGTGAATATTGGAAGGAGTCTTGGGAAAGTGCCCTGGGAGAAATGGATTGCACCATTCTATACATGTACTGCATTCCCCATAATTTCCTCGTGCTATATCCTCGGGAAAATATTTAACGTATACCCTTCACATACTCATAGAATAATCCAAACGTATCTGCAGTCAACCACGGGTATAACAACCCACGGATAGTGAGACTATCTTCAGACCTAGTAACAATAATTATAGCCGTGTATTTTCAACCCTGTGAATGACGCCAACTCCCAAATAGCAACACTTTTCTCATGCCCGATCAAGGGTCGTTCGTTACTGGCAAAGTTAGCTGGACATTTTGTCATGTAGTCATTATTACTTCAGGCAGGGACAATGAAATACACCCCGCCCCCTTTCCTGCAGAGGGAACCGTGTTGTGTCCAGGTCCGCATGCAGCATGGAGGTGCTAGTAAGTCACTGGCGTATTTTCTCTCGTGGATCGATGTACAGCGCGTGACAATGCTTCCATAGTGGTGGTGGTGGTGGTGGTGGTGGTGGTGGCGGGAGCATACTGCACTGCAGGGCATTACAGCACTGGCATACTATTATTTTCTCTTGCAGACGTGCCGTGCACGACAATGCTTCTATAGTGGTGGTCACAGTGATGGTAGTGGTGGTGGTGGTGGTGGTGGTGGTAGTGTGGGTGGTCACAGTGGTGGTGGTCCTGGTGGTGGTGGTGGTGGTGTGGTGGTGGTGGTGGTCACAGTGGTGGTGGTCCTGGTGGTGGTGGTGGTGGTGTGGTGGTGGTGGTGGTCACAGTGGTGGTGGTCCTGGTGGTGGTGGTCACAGTGGTGGTGGTCCTGGTGGTGGTGGTGCTGCTGCTGCTGGTAGTGGTGGCGGCGGTGGTAGTTGCGGTGGTGGGAGCATTCTGCACTGCAGGGCATTAAAGCAAGCTCGATTGTGCATGCATGGTGGCGGTGGGAAAGAGGAGCCAAGGAAAGTGTGTACATATTTTTGTTGAAAGCACGAGAATTCAAAGAAAGCTGGCTGCTTCCTCTATTTCCATGATCGGCCAGTGCCTGCAGCACGAACAGTACATTGTAATACATGTATGTGCATAGACAGACAAATAAACACTAACCTGAGCATGGGTATCGCTTGTATTCGTGGTCAGGAAAGTGAAAGTACGAACGAAGGAGAAGAAGATTGTTGACCATGGCGAACAATTGCATATCCAGAGGGCACACGGCTTGCCAGAATGGGTCGGCTACATCTTCGCTAATTTTCTATGCTAACAACATTCAGCTTCGAGGTCAAGGACGACGGCATTTTTGGAAGGAAATTTCGAATTTTGGAGAAGAAGCTTGCTTTCGGAAAAATGTTCCTTTCACGCAAGGCAGCATGCCAGGTCAGGCGTGTGAACCAGGTGAACTGTGTCGGCAGATCGACGTTTACGTTCCAGGCCGACAGTTTTTTGACCAAGCCGTGAATCGCCCTCGCTCTGACTCGCCCGGCTACGAAGGAGTAATTTTACAACTCTTCAGGCCAGCTACAGGTCTCTGATGCAGAGCTGCAAGTGACGGATATCGGTCATTTGCAGCCACTACTTAGAGCCTCCTGGTCGTCGCAATCTGATACATAATAGGGAGGTTTAGTCCCACGTAATCCGTGGGTACTTTACGTGGGTGTACCACGTGATACTCAGTGACCCACGTACAGACGTTTTCTGATTCACGACATACCGTGTATGGAGGCTCACCCACGTTCCGCCAGAACGTGGGTGAAAATCAGAATGGAGCGCATTGTGCGAGCTGTGAGGGTGCTCAGCTGAAGAAGTTTCCGAAGCACGAAATCAAAATATTGGATGAGCTTCTTAGGCCGGGGTAGCTTCGTCTTTGACCAGGTTTTGGCCTTTCGCTTCATGCTTTTGTTTGTTCCGTGTGACTAAACACAACATTGCAACGTGGGTGCCCTTCATCCACTTTACGTGGATCACCCACGTACGCGTTTCCGTTACGTGGGAACTAAACCTCCCTAATATACCTCCCGAACCTCGTCGCCGAAGCGAATCCCAGTGCATGTGTGACCGGGCCCTTACATGACAAAATAAGCCCTGGGGGTTGGATAAGCTCGGGGGTCAAGGGTAGGGCTAGTTCAGCTCGGGGCGAGCTGACTGATGATAAGCCCGCCTGACCATGTAAACGCGCGCTCTAAAATGACTGGGTGACAGATCAAGGCGGGCTTATCGTACGCCGAGGGTTGAATAAGCCCGGGCTCATTTTTCTCATGTAAACGGCCCCTTAGTGCAAGGGCCGGTGTTTAGAGCACAAGGCAAGAGAGACGGAAGCCGAAGCTTCCGCCTGACTCCGTCGACTGCGAAAAGCAAGAGAGAGAGAGAGAGCGAGAAAGGAAGGTGACAGTCCGTGCGCCAAGCCCTTGAGTAGCCTGTTTTTTATTTGCAACCGCGGGAAAAATCGAGGTGCAAAAAGATGACGACGACACAATTGTTTTGTTGGGTATTTGCAACCTTATTTGGATCTGAACTGGCGTGTGCTGGAGGAATCCTTGTTCATAACTTGGTTTGCTGCTGAGGTATGTCCCTTTGTCACCTATGGCACTTTAGCTGAGGTTCGTTGCGCCCAACTGTAGACCATGAAGACCTGTGTTTGCAATATATATTTTTTCGTCGTAATCGTACCATCAACTTGCTTGTCGTGCTGGAGTGGATAGCATATAGCGGACACTCTCGGCTTATGCTCTAAGCCAAAGGTAGATATATTTGGGTTTGGATTCCCAAAGCACATCCCAATCAGGCTATGCAAAATGGAGCGGCCCACAATTTCGTGGAGGTATGTCGAATTGTGTGGAATTTTGCACTAAAGTAATTGTGCTTGAACAAGGACGCTTTGGCTGCTTATTTTCCTTGGGCACCTCTACATTGCAAACTAGTCCCCTTGCTGTTTTGTCTTCGACATCTATACGGAATTTCTCTGTAAGTCGTGTGATTGGGGCCCAGATTTTAATCAAAATCCAGCAGTATTCCTGGCTGCTGATCTAGTTTGCTAAAGTTCTGGTTGAAGGTAGTCTGTGGAACAGTTTCTTTTGTATGTACCATGGTAGGACGTTCATTACATAATTATAGATGGAGTACATAGTCAAAGAAACTTTTTATGTAGTTTAGCACAACTGCACAGAAGTGCAGGGCCTGAAAGAAAAGCAAGAGCTGGAGACGCAGGGTCCGCAGCATGTGCGGATGCATTGTGAGAGCATGTGTCTTCGAATTCAGCATCACACACATATACACACTCACACACACACACACGTGCATGCGTGCACATACACACACACACACACATACAAACACGTATCACACACACACACACACACACACACACACACACACTACTACTACTACTATGTACAACTGCCACAAAATGGCCACGTCGCTCCCAGAAGCGGGAGACAACAGCGAGAAAAAAGAAACAAGGAGAATAATTGAGGTGAAAGGGGACCGTTCTACACATAGCTAGTGTTTCTGTCTTCGGTGGCGGGTGAGGTCCTGCGGGCGGGAGAATCGTTCGTTACATATGCTGCATTGAATGGGCAGATTAGTCCTCACACACACACACACACACACACACACACCATTGGACCATTGGACCATTGGACCATTGGACGCCCATCGCCGGAGGCGATGATGAAGATGCTACAGCAGAAGCCATAGAAGCACACACACACACACACTCACACACACGCGCGCGCGCGTCATCTGGCGCGGGTTGCGGGTTGGGTGTTGCATACTGAACATTCTGTACTTGCAGCCTTATCTTGATCATGTGTGATAGTTGTTGTGTCACCGGTTTTTGCCGTATTTTCTGGATTCTCTGTGCTTTCTGTAGATGGTCTTGCGCGCTCGTCATCAACAGCACTAGGTCCAGTGGGCCAATCAGGCTGAATGGCATCATCCAGCTGTGACTGGGGTGTAGGTAAGTGTCTCTGCGTGCTCTGATGGTCGACTTGTGGCTTCTGGCCTTCAATCATTGTTCTTGCACGGGACCTGCCTCGCATACCCTGTGGTTCACTCGTGTTGGCAGGCTGTGATGCACAGTGGAATCCTTGATATGGCACTCGGTCTATGTTGTTGCACGCGACGATATTGCCACTGATGGGCTTTGGTGTGATGCTCTGAATAGATGTACCATGAAAACCTCTTGATTGGTCTCCGTAGTACATTCGCCTGCCTGGCTCGTTTTTGTGGATATTATCCACTGTTGCAATGGAGAACTTTGCGTGAGGTATCTCACTGTTCACTCCGAGCTCTGATTTCTTATCAATGATGGTCTTTTGATATCGCTTGTAGGAGTCGACACCTGCTGTTGCGCGGACTCGAGCTAGTACTCGCATGAGCTCGCTGGAATTGCTATGTGCATCCACAAAGTCCGAAAGAACAAGCTGGAAAGGGTAAGTGCATGCTGGTGTGCTTGCATGCATCATGCATGATAGAACAAACAAGCACCGGATCCTCTTTGCACTGTGGTTGGATGCTTGACTTCCTTCTGACTCCGATTGGCCGTACATCATCAGCCAAATGTTTCCCCACAACTCACTGTTCACACTATCCACCACTGGGTCCAGCTTCATTTCCGACAGTGAAGTTAGGTCGTTATGCTCTTTGTGCTTGAATTCTTGTGCTTCATTTTTGATTTATGAGTGCATTTTTGCAGCCGACAGCTCTTATACGAAGGATGATGGGCCACTGGGTTGGCTTGTGTGCTGTGTGTGCTGGGTTTCATTTTGTGCTCTGTGTTTCAGGGTCTGGGATCGTGCAACAGCGAGGGAATTGTATAAGCACAGAACTGTGTCACACCCTGTACGATACAGGAGCGTGCCTCGTTTATCACTGGTACCATATGACCCATGGTTGAGATAAGCGCCAAGCTTCGAAATAAGGCTGGACAGTAGCCACCGGTTGTTGCAGTTGATGGATGGTGAAGAAGAGGTGAAGAAATCAGCAGCCGTTGCCAGAAGAAGAGAACGGTTTTCGAGGAATGCAAGACAGACGAATCTTGCTGTTGCCAGCAATGCGGACTCCTCGGGTGAGGTGCATTGGTGCATTTCGTCTGTTATACTCTGCACCAGGCTCTCCAGCTTGAAGTCAGTAGTCTGACTGTCCACCATATCCAGTTGGCCTTTATAACAGGCAAGGCAAAAAGCACTATCCGCGGTGACCGTAAGATCACGCTCAGCGTGCAGCTGACGCTGAACTGCTCCGACGTAACACCCCTTATTTGTGCGCCACACATGGTGCATGTGGGCCTGTTGCTGTCATGTAGCTGCATGTTATGCCGGTTGCAGAGACCCGCTGGCTGATCGTTTGCGTTTACTTTCACGCTAAGCTTCTCGGCCAGCTCTACTGCTTGTAATGAAACTGTGAATTGCCGTGGCAAATCACAACCATCTACTGAGCAGTCTGGTATTGTTGCGGGTGCTGTTGCCGGTGCTGCTGGTGCTGCTGCAACATGCTGTGCAGGCATCGCTTCTGTAGGCTGCACGTTGTCAGTGACAGGCATTGGCTCTGCTGAATGATTTATGAGCCTTTTCATGCATTTCTTGCAGATACATGCATTTCGTGGTATGGGGCTGTTAAGTGTGACGTCACGGCCCCTTCGATACGCATAGCAACGGAGAGCACTGGGGACAAACAAAAGTCGCGTCCTCTGGATGGAACCAGTTGTGAAGGGCAACAGCATCTAAATGACTGGAGAGAGAGCAGTTTTTCTTTGCTTTTTCGTCAAGCGATTGTTGTCGCTCTTTACTCCTTGTTCTTTCCTCTACAAATCTCCTGTAGTCGTCGAGGGCCTTCATAATGGCTGTGAAATTGGCTGCCCACTGTAAAACTCCGTGTTTGAGAGTGCTTTGAAGATTCTTCGCCTCCTGATGGATCAAAGTACGAGCGCTCCCTGTGGATTCGATTATATGTAGGTGAGTTGTTCAAGAAATCAGTGTCTTCTTTCTGTCTCTGCCCTCACGCTGGCACAATATCAGCCTCGATATCCATGACAGCCCGCACCTCTCGTAGACTGCCCTGACTTAGCTGTATTCTCGCCCTCCGTGGTGATTGAAGACCCATGGAAGAAGTTGTTCAGAATGATGTCCTGAGAATATAAAATAAAATAATTCCAGGGAATTGTTACAGGGTATTTTGGAAGGATGGAGAGAGAGAGAGAGAGAGAGAGAGAGAGAGAGAGAGAGAGAGCACTGTTTGAAGTGTTTGTCTCACTGTAATTACTCCAGATTATTGAATGGTGTATGATCTACTCGATATTTTCCGCAATGGTTTTTCCTGATTAGCGGGATCTCTTCTTTTGCTGTTTGCGTGTTTACAGGAAGTGACTGTCTGGTGTATCTGCACCAGATCCTGGGGAAGTGAAGTCAGATGCAGAGGCAGGGTCGTCCAGTGATGCAACACTGCCGTTCTATGTGCAACGTCACCGCTAATTCCCCCGGCGAAAACACAAACACGTGAAGAGACTACAGTATTGACCGTTCTGGTAATGAATCGTGACTGATCGGACAGTCGATAATCGAAACACAGAGCACCAGCATGATGTTTTCATATTGGGAACCACACACCAGCTCAATTCTCAAGCCCAAAAATTGATTAATACAAAACACAGAGCGACGCAACAAGAGATCATCCGGAAACCAAACCAACCTGGGTCTGATGCAATGAATAGTCCTGAAATACGCAGGCCACACAAAGCAGTGCAAGCACAGACTGTTACAAGGTACATGCATTGCAGAACAAAGTGTAACCAAAGATACACAGGGTTATAGCTGCACACTCGTGCATGTGCTCGCTCAGCCCAAGAACACGCAGGATGATAGAAATAATCCGGGGGAAACACGCTAATGTCATGACCGGGGAGTGGGCCAGACATACTCTCAGGATTCTACAATTCCAGGTTCTTTACGGAAATATACCAGGAGTCCAGATACCCATTCCTCACCCTCACCACACAAGAAGACCAAAGCTTTACTCTAGGACCAAGCTCAAACAACAGAGAAGCAACAAGAACAACAACAACAACCAGCGATCGATGCAAAGCATCGAGCTATTTACTACAAGACCTAGTAGCGTGCACGGCGCGGAGCGAGCGAGTAGCCAGCAAAGCAAGAATAGTGATAGGTTTCACAACACTATTGATCGACAAGACACATCGGCGCCACGGCAAACACTTCATAAAGACACATGTATAAGCAGACGGAATACAATACAGATAATGACATTGTAGAAACACACGGACACGACACTAGCACCGAAGTAAGCATCAAGACGTAAATAGTGCAGCTCTGAAAAAGTAAAAACTACATTGACATGTACATTGGTGTGCCGAGTAGTATCATCCTTGATCACCCATCCAACCAAGACGTTATCAGGTCCCAGACGCCGAGATCCCACGCCGAATGTGAAGTGCATCTAGCCTTGAACCTGTTGCACAAGGCACACACATATGACAAAAAATGACATCCACTCCGATTATTTCCAGAGGCCAATCATAACAGAACACAGAAATGAAACCACGGACTCAGCAAAGTAAACGCTAAGGAAATTAGTTAAAATAATCCATGAAGTGCTGTGTTAATTCCAGCGCTGACTGCAGTGTGGCGTCATGGCCCGATACCCGCGGAGCATAGACACAAACTCCATTTGACAGGGGCACGACATACTATTTTGGAATAAAGTCACAGGGGCGTAGCACCCGCTACGACTGGTACGATCATGGCCGCACCACTTTTCGAAAAGTGTGGTCCGTCTGGAACGTGCAAAACCGTAATAAAAAATCAGGATAAAGCGATATTTGCATATGCGCATCAGACCTTTTCTAGACTCGTACTCGTAGATCTGTTATGCATCTGCAGTCGTACTGAGTACTGTACTCGACTCTACTGCATACTGCGCCAGAAGTGTGCCAGAAGTTCCCAGAACGCAGGATTTTGTGTCTTTTACAAAATTTCCCGGGGGGGGGGGGGTGGACCCCCTCCAACACGGCCTTCCGCCGCACCGACCTTCGGTCGTACCACTTCCAAAACCCCTCCTACGCCCCAGTCATAAAGTACAGCACTCCAATGACATGACGGACACCTCGTGCAAATGCGTGGTCTGTTCATCCGGCCAACTCGGCCACGCATGAGAGTGTGTGCATGTACGCGCGCACGTGCACACACACCATGTATTCGGTGCGTATGGCGTACCTGTTGCGGAGATAATGAAGATGGAATCATTATCATGATGTTACATGTACATGTACAGTGTATGTTTGAGTGTAAAGTAAATTTTATTTTATTACACATTTCTTCGACACAACTTACTCCACATCTTCGCATTTCTCATAATCCATCCATCTACACTCCGTCTCAGTTGAGGAAACTTCTCCCAGGTATACACTAGTCACCACAGCCATGTGATGACATTGGGATGGGCCCCAAGCACGACTGCACTCTCCAGTTACAATATAATTTATTTGTCCAGATTATCTGTGAAGACAAAATGCAATGCATAGCGGCAATCGATGGATGAAGAGAGAGAGAGTTTGTAAATACACATATCTTTCCACTTGTTCAGGAGCTTACCTTTTGGAGTTCACATCGTTTACACGATCTCTTATGCTGTCTTGCACCTTGGCTTTGTTGACCATGGATACGCCATCCCAGAAGACATTCTACAGGAGCTACTCATGCAGAGCGTTTTTCACGCTCGATCTCGGCGATCTACCTCGTCACGCCAATAAAATCCTCCGTGACACTGGCTACAGTCACAAGAGATGTCTCAGTAAGGTAATGAGCACGACAACGCCGTCGAGATCAAGGACAAAGAGAAAACAAAACACTCACTGAAAACAGCAAAGAAGAAACGAAGAAATGTACACGATTCCTATATGTTGCCACTGACAACTGGTTCGGTGGAGACGACGCTACTTTTGTTTGTCCCCAGTGGGATCGTTGCTATGCGTATCGAAGGAACTGTGACGTCATCACTTAACAGCCCCATTGTAGGGTGATGTGCATATTCCCAGCATTGCGTGGTCTCGGGGTGGGAATATCTGCCATCAAGGGGAACATCTTGGCAGGCTATACATGGTCCGCATTGCCTGTCAGGATGCAGTTTCGAGCCCTGGCTTTGGCGGCCCATTTGGACTTGGTCCCAGTGCGGACACTCGTGGTTTCTTCCTAGCCTATAGCAACACCATCTGTCCGCCCATTCGCGTAGTTTTATCAGAGATAGAGCCTTGCAAGATAAGACGGCCCACAATCTCCTGCGACGTATCTACGAAATGGGAAATTGAGAAGAGAAACAAAAAGGCACCGCAACGACTTGAGATGTCGAATATCGAGGTGCACTTTCGAAAAATGTGCTCATCGCTCACCCTTATAACACCATAACGGCGCAAAAGCAATCGATATAGGAGGATAAGCCTGTATTCTCTTTAAAGTGCAACTTTTAGACGACTTTTTTGAACTTGGCGCACGGACTGGTGATATAATAGCAATAGTAGAGAGGTTCTGCAAAACGAAAATGTGTACGAACTTTCGCTCTACGTCACGAAGTGAGAAACTTCGCACGAACTTTCGCAACTTTGGACGCGAAACTTGCAGGGAACGCGAAATGAACTTTCCAGGCGAAGCGCCAGCACCCCAAATCAAGACTTTTTTATTTTCCGTGGCGGGAAATCGAGCTTTTCTAGGTATCTACAGCCTGTAGAAATTCAACGCTGAGAATTTCCAACTATTGTCCGGCTTTGGTCCTCTGCCACCGACCTATCCTTTGAAGGAGAATGCTGAAACCAGTTGGTTGCTCTTCAGTAGTTCTTTCTCTATCGTATACATATTTTTGTATGTCGACACATGCCGTGTGCGAC